AAGAAACATTTCCTAATATACTGTGAGATCTACTACCTTAAAAGTGAGCCTCCACCTGTAGGGGATGTTTCTGATGTTAAAGTCCTGTCCTCAATTGTTTCTTGACCTGTCAGTAAACAAAGCCATGGGCTCATTGCTGGGCAGAAGGTCCAGGTCCCTGGAGGAAAAGTGGACAAATGGTAGTGGAGTATGCTTTAGAGAGAGAAGTACAATGCAGAAATGTGAAGTGTCAATACAAAGTGGCCACACAGTCTGCTTCTATAGGGAGGTGTTCAGGGGTCTATAGCAGGGGAAAGATGTGACTGACTGAGATGCTAACATTAAGGGCAGGCAGGAGAGGTGGAGATAAGAAATTGGTGAGGACATCCTTTTCCAGGCAGGAGATAGTACAAGCTCAAGAAGACAAACAGAAAAGGAACAACACTGTATGTGTGTGTGTGTGTGTGTGAGTGTCTGTGTGTTGTTTTAGCCTCAGATTTAAGGAATCTAGGAGAGAACTGGTAGCACACTTTCCAGATTAAAGGCAGAAGGTTGAGCAAAGATACAGGCAACATTTATCATCCCTCATCCTTGCTAGCCTTGAACTGAAATATTCACCCTCATAGTCCTGTGCCCTCTGTTGCAGTCTCCATCCCCCTGGGCTCCTCTGAGGTTTACTCTAAACACTGTTTAGATGGCATTTCAACATGATTTATTCACCAGCGCCACCCCTAGGAGAGCTCTCAATTCTGCAATTCATCTGATAAAGCCTAATCTGCATTTTTATGCAGGATGAGTCATGAGAGATCTGCTCCAACCCTGACAATAAGAGATCCTGAGGCAGGATCAGGAACACACTATAATGCCCTACATGGAGGCCTCAAATTTAATCACTGAGCATGCTCACCCAAAGTATGTGATCCTACAGGTCTCAAGAAACTTCTCTCTTTGATTGGGGGTCATCCAGTGCAACTAATACACCACACAAGGAAGGACAAAAGTCCAGGCAGGGACTGGATAGATGGCTTATGCATTTGAGAATTTGTTTCACAGAGGACCTAAAGAAGGATTAACAATGCCCTGTCACTTAAGTTCCATGTGGAATCCACTGACGTCTTCTGGCCTCTGGGACTTTCATTCATGTAGCACACAAATCTAGAGCAGGAAAAACACCCTTACATATAAAAGAAATAATTAGAAAACAGAAAAAAGGCCTCACATAAATTTTTTTAAAAACTGTCAAATACATTGTCGGTTTATGAGCAAAAGGAATCATCATTATCATTAGAACAACAACAGGAACAAAACAAAGGAGAAAACAAAGCAAAAAACAAAGAACAACAACAAAAAAACATCCACCAAAACAAAAAAACAAATAACCAACATCTCACAAAATGTCTTGGAATCCATTATCTCTGTTGTGCATTTATAAGTGAGGTTATATTTCAAGAAAACAAGAGGCATAGAGCGCTGTATTTACTGATTTCTTTTATACTCCTTTATTGAATATTTTTATTTCTTGGGACATATTAGAGAAATACACCTGTGTTCCTACTTTGTTTGTTCAACTTGATCATCCACATAGTAGTACATTTTAACATAGTTAAATTCATGTCCACAAAGATACAGCAGGGATACTTTTTTCATCATGAAGTGGGGATCCACACATTGTGACTCACTATCCACATCAAAAGCCCAATTCTCTGTGTCACATTGTCTTACTGGGTACCAATAATGAAGTCTAAGCCAAAGGCTACTTGAAGAGGCCCATTCCTGCCTGATATTTTAGTGTTACAAGACTCTGAACCACACATGAATACAGGAGGTTCTTAGGAGGGAAAAATTAGTGGTTATGTTTTCATCCATAAGAATACATTAAATTCATTCAATACCATGTTAAAGTGGGGAAGTCAATGAATATAGTATATAAACTTAGCAAAACAACAAATTAATTACAGTAACAAAAATAATAAACAAATAACAAAACTTCAAATGTAAACAAAGAAACCATATACTGAAATAATCAAAATTATAACAAAATCCAAAACACAATTACTAAGCTAAGAAACATTCTTTAGCTGCAGATTTTGCAGCCCAGACCTACAGCCTGTTGCTGGCCTTGGAAATATAGTGCAAAGGCAGTCAATGCTGATAGTAAACTCTTCAAGGTGAATGAGTACATGCCTCATTGTGGTGTGGTTTTGAGATGGGCAAGTCCTCCCAAAGCAAAGCATGAAACATATTAGTGGTGGTATCTGAAAGTCCTTAAAATTCCCTTGACTGATCCTCATGAATTTATCTTTGATGACCCATCAGGACAAGCAAACATTTACATTCTCAGGCTCCTCATGGATTTCCAGCAGATCTTGATGTCCCTCAGCATGTGACTGAAGCCTTCAAAACATGCACTCTGCCTGGACCAGAGGCTAGACACAATGAAGACCTTGTGACATGTAGGAACCGAAATAATGGAAGAAAATGCAGTCCAAGATTGCCAAGGTTATATGGATGAGATGCAATGGTGGTTCACTTGCTTTGCACACTGAGTGTTCTTGGTGAAGAGTTGTGTCTGAGGGAGATCTTGGCCTGGTCTGTGCCCTCTTTGAGCTTTTGGTGGAGTATTTCAGACCTAGAGGAGGAAGAGACAAAGGTCTGGTGAGGACCTGCCAAGTCAGCTATCCAGCAAACACCAGCTTTATTGACCAGTACAATCCAGTATGACCATTCAGCTAAGGTCATTCCCTGTATCCCCAAAGAAGAAGGTTCAGAGAGCACCTGGACCTGAAATTTTTTCTCAGATTTAAAAAATAGCTTGCAAGGGAACTATGAACTACCCACTGTACTGGAGTTAAAATAAAACACCACATTTCTACAATGGTCCACATATATTATATTGAAAAATAGCTGTGTAGCCATGTATAAATCGAACATTTTAAGAAGTGTTCTAGGGAAACTAGATACCATTGAAGAGAAGGCTCTTAATGTATCTGAAGTGTTGGAACCTGCCTTGGTTCTTACTTATGAACCCCTCCATCTGGGAATCCCCAGAAAAACTATCTGCCAGGAACCATGCCCACTGGAGACATACTATAGTCAGCAACATGCAAATCTTCCCAAGGGTAAGCAATGAATGCTAACAGGGACATTCATGGAGGAAAAACAATGCCCCTGCAATGTTTATAGCTACCGTAGTATTATTTGTGGGGTGACTTAAGGGACAATAGGCTCAAGTTATACCAGAGAACTCAGAAGGGAAGACAGAATACAACACAATTGACAGAAACATGATGGATCACAAATGTTTCATGGAAACGAGTTCCTTTAAACTGGATCAGAACAATATTATTAGGTACTCCTAGTTGACTTAGGCAGAGAGTCATGTGGAAAGACAGAGACCCAAAAATAGTTATACAGGTATAGGAAATCTCCTTGACTTCTGCAATCCTGTGCTAGTACCTCATCTCAGTGACAGCAACACGATGCTGCATCATTACAGCCAATATATAGACACACACACACACACACACACACACAATCACACAGAGACACACACACATTCCTGAACACATGGAAGGACATGTTCACACATACAAGTGTAGTTCACTGCAGAAACATTTTTATCTTCTCAGTTAATGATAATATAAGAGATCACCCAGGATACTATAAAGCCATAAGAAACAAACCCTTGAATTGAGAAAAAGCCTGGAGAGATAGCTAATCCATTAGGAGCACGGACTTGTCTTCTGGAAGTCCTGAGTTCAATTCCCAACAACTGCATGGTAGCTTACAAACCATCTTTAGTGAAATCAATTGTCCTGTTCTGGTGTGTCTGAAGAGAGAAACAGTGTACTCACATACATAAACTGAATAAAATTTAAAAAAAGGAAAAAGAAAATAACCCTGAATGGCATAAGATCATAGTAGGCACAGCCTAATCATAGCTCCGTCAAAAAGTGCTTTCCCCTAATAAACAAAAGATGGAAATATGGGGTCTTGGCATGATAGATAAGTCTTCTTAGCAAGTTCCAAAAGCTGTGCACAGTAGGCTTGGTTCCCAAGAAAGGCCCATGGGATCCGGGTGGACTAGACTGTTCCTGCATCTTGCTCACAGTTTCTCAGGGGCTCCAAAGTTAGCAGCATCTTCCAATAGGCCCTCCACTTTCCACAGCTTGTGTGGTTTGTAACCAAAGCTTTGAGGCTAGGCAATCAGGAAATCTCTATAAGCAGAATGCAATGTGAGACTTTCCTCCATGTAAGGAGATTCTGTCAGGGATATTTTGAGGAAAAAGTCTGGCTACTTCAAGACAAAATGGTGGCATGTATTATCACCCTAGGCAAAAGTACATGGAAGGGTTGGACCTACAGTATACTTGTTCACACCTTGACTGAAAGACATCTACATAGTTTCTACTTCAGGGCTGTTCTGTGAAGTACCACTACAACAGTGATTTGCCCTAATTTCTCTGTGGAAACCTACTTCTTGTTCTGGAGTAGCTGGGTAAACAGAGACTACAGTTTAACTTTCTGAAAAGTTGTACATGGCTTCTCAGAGGCCTACCCCATTTTATAGCATCAGCAATATATAAAGTTGCTCATTTCCTCCAACCCTCCTTGAGGATGATTTTAACTCAAAGCAAATCATTTTTGAATGACAGGCTTTACAGAGTGCTACAGACAGAACACAGGGTGAGTGCTTTAGACTATCAGGACCCTAAAAGGGTATCTGAGCCAGACCTGGTCTAGCACCTCACCATAGGTATGGGCCTCCTGCTAGATGCAGATGCAACACCAAGCAACTAAGTTTCTCAAATAGTAATACCCAGGACAAACTCCAAGGCCAAGGATAACTGAGACAAACTAAGGCAGAGTTAGAAAGAAAATGGTAAGATGTAAGGAAGACAAACTAGGATGCTGAGAAGATGCAACGAGCCCCCTGCGGGCAGTCACTATCCACCAAGAGCAGAGAAGGGACACAGACCCTTAGCCAGCCTTGTTGACTCTCAGGCACATGGATATGACACAGCAGCCTCCTACTCACCTCCATGTACAACAGTGTTTTGTTTTCCTAAAAATGATTTCATTATGGGTTCACAGTTTTCTCTATATATACAGTTTCAATAGTGATAAATAGTTTTCCTCTACCAATGGCTGATAATCTGACTTTACAGCATTCTCTGTCTCCTTTTGTACTATGAGCTAGGTAGAGCAGCATGATGACAGATTGCTGTGTTTGATGTTCCCTTGATGCAAAGTGAATTGACAGAGGACTTTCTCGTTGAAGCTGGCCTCTATTATCATGTAAGATGTTTGCTGACCAAGTAAATATACGTATACATACATACATACACACATACAAACACATATATGTACAAAACAGCAGTGCATGCATTAATATACACACACAGACACACAGACACACACACACACAGACACACACACACACAAAAATAAACACACACACCCCAATCAAAAGATTGCTGTGTTCAGCACATTTCATGTCACTTGAGGAAGCAGTGGGACCTAAGCTGTGTAGTAGGCTCTTAGACAAACCCAGGCTCTGCTGCCCAGGCCTGTACTTATTTCCGTGTCATGAACTGTTTCCAAGCTGATAGTTGCTGATCCTACTAGTAAGTCACAAGCTCTGCACACATATGCTGGTCCACACAACACTCAAGAGCCTAAGAAAGAGAGTTGCATGAACATCCTCCAGCAAGCTCCATGTTGAAACGTCATATTCTGCTCTCTAAACCTACCTTGACTTCTTCTCAGAAGACCCTGGTAGCACCATTAAAAGAAACAGTTAATCATGTTTATTATCCATGAACTTTACAACACATTACAGTTCCCATGATATTAAAACATCCCTAATGTTATTCAAAAGGAAGCTAGGGAATTAACATGGAATGGTTTTTCTGAAATTTAGCACACTGCAAAACTATGAGGGGGAATTGTCCTGAAACAAAACCATGTCCATGATATACTCAGGGACACAATGTCAGCAGAGGGATGCACTGTAGGATTTCATAAATCCTCATGGTAAAGCCAGTAACACACAGTATGAATTTCCAGGGTGTTATCTCAGTACAAGGAAGGCAAAGAAGTCTAATTTTTGTTTTTAAAATAGCTATATTGTTCAAGTTTTTGTTTATAAATAAGAATTTAATTACAAAACAATAAAACAAGAGACCAGCTTTCTGTCCTGGGGCAGGGCTGCTCTTAAGCCTCTCAGAGTGAGGTACCATAGAGAAGGATGGAGGACCTGGGTGCTAGATAATTCAGGAAGTGGCATCCTGAGGCTCCTCTACATACAATAGAGCTGTCTTCTGCCTAGAGTGATAGGGTAGCATTGGCAGCCTTAGCAGGTGGAGGAGATGGAGAGGCATGAGCAGAAGTGGTTAGGAAGGTCATTTCTGGTCTGGGTGCCTGTTCCGCTCACTCCAAGGTTTGAGTTGCTGTTGGAGCTGCTGCTGTCCCAGGGCTGAGGTGGGACACAGACATGTAGCTTTGGGAAGAAGCTTGGTCTCTGGAGACACTGGATTCTGAGGAGCAGCAGATGGCCAGTCATGAGAAGCCAGGTGAGGTGGCCTTGGTAGTCCCTCTACCACACCCACCACATGCCCAACAGGTCATGAACCATCCTTTGTGTGACTCTTGGGTGCCTGGACTCCTGCCCCTTGCCCTCTAAGAGCCTCACACTCACAACTTAGAATAGAGAGGCTGGTGTTCAGGTCCCTAAGGCTCCTTTGGATAGGACCACCTTGGAGCCACCTTTTGTCTCATGAGTGCAGCTAGCAGTTGTTGAGCACCACTTCCTGACCCATATCCTGCTCTGGTTCCAAGAGTACCATGTCTGATTCTAGGTTGTTCCTCACATGGGTGTGCCTCCAAACCCAGGTTTAGGAAACCTTAGGTAAGGAGAGAGAGAGAGGGACTGGGAAGGGGAATCTGAAGTCACATGGTAAGATTTGGAAAGGGTGGGTTGGGTTAAATATGAAATTATTCACATGTAAGTGTTGGCAACATGGGTTCTGTTTGTTTGTAAAGTGTTATTGGATTGAAAAACTCACTTGTGGGTTTCATGGAGCCTAGATTTCTTGGGTAAGACCCATCCTGGCACACCAATACCCTCCTCCCTATTCTGCCGATTTCAGCCAAATGACAAGAAAGCTCATGACAAGGCTCAGTGGGCCAAGTTGTGTGCCTGACAACTGCCAAATACACCGTTGGCTTCTTCCATGATAATGAATTGTTTTCTTCCAGAAGCAACAACAAAACCCAAAACAATGAAATATGTAAAAATGTTCTTCCTCTCTATGAGTAATTAAACCTTGTAAAAATTACCTGAGACCAAACAATGTCAGGAGCTCTAGATGGAAGGTGACAGAACATTCAAAGGTGATGATCAGACACCTTAACCAATACAGGAAGGTTCAGACTCAGTGAGAGACCTGGGCTATGTTGCAGAAAGACTTATCAAAACCATATGTAATTAACTGGCCTCTCAGCACACCCATCAATTTACATATTGGCACAGACATGCATATGCCCCTCCCTCCACACACACAAACCAGAAATCGTAAGTGAGCAGGAAACAATAAGGAGATATCAATGCTGGAGGAATCATTGAATGTAGAAAAGCTAATGCTTCAAGTGAGACCCAGGACTCTGCTGTCCATCCCTTGGGAACTAAAAACACTTAGTGAGTAACTTCTTCTGCAGACTAGGTTGAGAGAGTTCTGGAAATTTTTCTCTTGGAGCCTCACATCTCTCAACCCAACCATCAGCCTGAGAGAAGCCTTTCACACATCCCTGTTCATCCAGTAAGCTCCTGAATATAAACTCCAGGAAAGAACTCTAGCAACACTGACAGAAACCATGACTGACAAGCTGCTCCTCAGGCTCTGTCAGTGTGAATCAAGGTCTAAGCAGTGGGAAGAGACAATTTTGCAATGCAGGGGAAGAGAGAGAGAAAAGATACAAGCCCCCACCCCACCTCTTTTTTTAAAATAATCTTTTTATTGGATATTTTATTATATTTCAGATGTTATCACCTTTCTTCATCCTCCCACCCAGAAATCCCCTATTCCATCCAACCTCCTCCTCCTTCAATGAGGATTTACCCCAACTCACCACCCTGCCCTTGAATTCCCCAAACTGGGGCTTCCAGCCTTCATGGGACCAAGGACCTCCTCTCACATCTATGTCTGACAAGGCCATCCTCCCCTACATATGCAGCTGGAACCATGGATCCAAAGCAAGTGAGTTACAGGCCCTGACTTCATCACTCAGTGTTCTGTGCTACTACATCGGAGGCACCCATATAGAACCCCTCTAGCATAAAGGCATGTAGGGTTGTAATGTGTTTTCAAAATATCTTCATGAAGTGCAGCTTGGAGCTGAGTAGGAGGGATTGCTTGCCAATCATCCAGTTTCTTGAAAGAGGCTAACTCCACAGAAAGTCTTGTAAATGATCACAGAAATGAAGAACTGGAAATACATAGGAGAGTGTCTGGACAAGGTAGAGGATGGTTATCTGGGCTTGGCTGTGTTTATGGTTAGACATGAGTCCACAAACTGCCCCTGATGCTTCATGCATCCTACCTGCTGCTGCTGCTGTTGGGTATACTTGTCGTATATCTTCAAGCTGGCCTCCACACACAGCCTCTTTGTTTTCTTAGTACACTCTTCCAGTGCAATCTGCTCCCTTAGCAGCTGCCTGTTCTCATTCCACAGAATTTTTACTTGGTTCTTTATATGAAGAGACTCTGTAAGGAGCTGACAGTTCCTGATGCTGAACCACAAAGAAGAAATGGTGATATGTAGGCAGCATCCATCTTCCTCCCACTTCTCCAAGTACCATCCCTTCTCACCACGGGCACTGGTCCCCAGACAGACACAGACTACAGACCAGAGCAGCCATAGAACATCACATATAAGAAGGTCAAATCGAGAACAGAGTAACAGTCCAGAAGACTCAAAGTACTTCTGAAAACCGTGACACCAACAGGGCCTCATATATCTAGCAGAAGAGTACATAGGCCCCATGATTGTTTATATGTCCAGGTATTAGAAAACCACCTGTAGGTAGAAAGAGGACAAACCTTATCTAGAAGAGGAGAACAGACTCAACAGATATACAATCGTTCTATGTGTCTCATGCAAACCAGATCTATAAATCTGTTTTCAGGGCCCAGAGACTCAAGGTTGACTGATATCTCCATTAAGGTGCACACCTTTTCTATCTAGAGGATACTGAGTTGGGAAGGACAATGATTGCAGGGGCTCACAGAGTCATCACACCTGATCAAAATGAGCCCAAGAGGTAAAAATCCTACAGCCTTTCTTTGAGGGAGGCAAGCTTCCTGTTGAAAGGCAAATAGTACAGAACCAGCCCCTTACTTTGTTTGAAAGTTAGTGATGGACAGACATATTCTGTGCCTAGTGCTGGGGTAATGACACTGATAGTCACTCACCAATAAAGTTGATTTTCTTTAGACAGCTCCTTGCACTTGTACAAGGCCTCACTGATCTCCTGAGGAATTTTCTTGAGATCGGTCATTACCTGGTCGTGTTGCATCTCAAGCATCATGTTCTCAAAGTTGGTCCTGTGGGAGGGCATGGCACAAGGAGCATATAATCCTCTGAACTAAGGTTTCAAGCATTACATAAATTCAACTTGACTCATGGACTACCCCAACCCATACATGCCACATCCTGGCTCCTTTGAACTGGGTCCTCTTGGTGCTTATTAAACTTGATAATCTTAGTCTGAGTCCAGTAGAGTTATGGAACTAAAAGAAGGGAGCTGACTTGCTTTAGCTCCCAGAGGGGGCTTTAAAAAATAGATTAGGTCTTTAAAAACTGTCCAAGAGCCTGTGTCACAGTCCTGGGTCCAACTTTAATCTGGGATGGCTGTTTTTCTGTTTCTAAATAAGGTTTTCTCAATCCTTGGTTCTATTGCTACCTAAATTCCCAAAGGACATAATCACTATTTACAAGGAAAAGGGTTTATTATAAGTATCAGGAGTTTCCAATGACTATCAGAGGTGAGCACAGAGGTCATGTGTTGTGCTGCTACAAGTGAGTCTCCATGGCCTCATCACTCTCATTACCTGAAAAGTGAGCCAGGTAAATCCTCAGGCCCCATCACTCTACACAGACTCCCTGGACCTTAATTGAAACACAGACACAAACACACACACACACACAC